CTCGGGCTCACCTCGGCTCACCTCGGCTCACCTCGGGGCATCTAGGCTCCTCTCGGGTCGCCTCGGGCCGTCTCGGCTCATCACGGCTCCTCTCGGGGCCTCTCGAGCCGAGCAGCCACCGGGCCGTCTCACGTCATCGTCAGATCTCGGCGTGATCTCGGCGTGATCTCGCCTTGCCGAAGACGGCGTGCCAGCCGTCGAGCTCCTCCATCTTTCGGAAGGTGACCTGAGGAATGAGTCAGGACTGGCGTGTGGCTGAGTGAGGCGAGCTCCTCCAGCGTTCGAAAGGCGAGCCAAGGCAGATGAGGGCCCGAAATCTCCGCGTGATCTCGGCGTGATCTCGGCGAGAGGCGCACGTGGAAGCGCGGCGTGCGGCCGTCGACGAGGGAGAGGATGCCCGGGTTGAGGTGCGGCAGCTGCCACTTCGCCTAGTGAGCATGTCCCGGACACGTCCTGGACCCGTCCCGGACACGGGCGGAATCGCGGCTGCCGCCACTCTGCCTCGCCCATCACGCTCTGCCGCACGAAGGCGGTGTGGTCCTGTCGCATCGACCCCTCGAGCCGCGTGTCGCGATCGCCTGCACGGAGGCGGCTCCGAGTGGGGGCAGGGAAGGGCCGAGAAGAGGCGAGAGGCTCCGAGAAGGTGCAGGGAAGACCCCTACCTCGGCCGGCCACCCTCGGCCGCACCTCGGCCGCACCTCGGCCACACCTCGGCCACACCTCGGCCACACCTCGGCCACACCTCGGCCGCCCCTCACCTCGGCCACACCTCGGCCACACCTCGGCCAGACCTCGGCCACACCTCGGCCACACCTCGGCCATCTCCCGGCCACCTCCCGGCTACCCCTCTCGCCTGCCACCATGTAGTCTCCCGGCATGATCTTTGACACCAGCGACGCCCTGCGGCAGCTCGGCTCGAGGCGGTCGGGGGCCGGGCTCGGGGGCTGGGATGGGCGCCGCCAGGGTCAGGGCAGAGGTGCAGGGCCAGAGCTGGGGCCGGTGCAGGGCTGGCGGGGCTGCCTGTAGGTGGGCTCGTGCTGCGACTCGAGCAGTTCGACAAAGCGGCCGACTGTGCGCGGCATCAGGTCGTGGAAGAGCTCGACAACGAGGCGGCCACGGGTGATCTGCGGATCGCGGCCCATCTGACGCCCAATCTCGAAGTCCATGTAGCAGTGCCGCGCCGCCGGGGTCGGATCCTCCTCGATGCATGCGCGCGCGCGCAGCGCGTCTAGCCGGCGCTGCTTGGCGGAGTTCTCCTCCTCGAGCTTCTCGCGCTCGTCCAGCTCCGATTGCAGCTCCTTCCAGGCGTCCTTGCGCGGCCGCTTCTTGGTCGAGAAGTTCATGACGCGCGCACACTCTGCGCCAGCCCTGGGTTCCAACTTTTTGCGGGGTATGGTACGGTACATCCTGACCGCCCATCCCCGGTCTCCGGGAGGCTGGGTCTGTCAGCAGGCGGGGTATGGTCTTGAGGTGGGTTGCGTGAGCCTACCATACCATAGTCCATACCCCGCAAAAAGTCCGAACCCTGGAGCCTGGTGCGTGGTGGGGGGCAAGAAAAGAATTTTTGCGGGCGAACACTCACGCACTTGCCTTCGGGCCAATCCGCTAGGTTGGGCGTGCTTTCACAGCCTCACGAGAGTACTCTCAAGTTTGCACGCCGCGACACCAGTTCTTACTTCTCAGAGGGTCATCTGCAGCGAAGAGTCACTCACGTCTCACGAAGCTCGGTGGATGGGAAGTGCCCGTGCTCCGGCCCCGCGCCGTCGATCGTGACGCCCGAGAGCGTCACGCGCCGCGGCGGGCCGCCTGGCTCCTCCGGTGGCAGAAAGTTGATGCCCTCGAGCTGCGACGAGGCGGGAACGTACCGGACGCTGTAGCGTGCGACCGGCGTGCCGCCCTCCGAGGTGTGAGGGTCGCCGCGGTGGAAAATGAAGCGCGTGTGGATGATCGCGTCGCCCGGCTGAAGGGCCGGGCACTCCTTGATCGCCTCGAGCGCGGCGTGGCTGTCGGGACTCAGGCTCTGCATCTCGCAGGTCTGAGGCGCCTGCCGGCAGCTGGAGGCGTGAAGAGACGCCGTTCACGCCCGAGGCGGGCTCTCATCTCACAGGTCGGGTTTTGGGCAGATATGCATCTCGGTGCATCTCGGCGCATCTCGGCTAATCTTTCCTCGCCCGGCGGAGCAATGACCGCGCGCTGCGGCAGAAAGTCGGGCCGGTGCGAGCCGGGAGCATAGGCCAAGCCGCCGCCCGCCCCCGCATCCACCGCGTCCAGCGCGACCCACACGTTGACGCCAGGCCCGGGGCCGTCTCGCTTGGTCGGCCAGAAGAAGAAGTCGTCCACGTGCCTATAGTGGAAGCCCGAGGACGTGTCTCGGAAGTGTCTTCTGAGCTGGGCGGGGCGGACGACGAGCGCGCCAGCCGCAGCCGCGCTTGCCGGGAGAGAGGGAGAAGAAGCCGTCGCGAAGCACGTGGAGAGGCTTGCCGCGCCCGGCGCCACGCACCTCATCCGGCGTCAGTTGCTCGGCAGCGGCCGCGAGCGGCGAGCGGAGCGCCACATCGAGGAAGCAGGCGTGCTCGCGCCACGCCTCCGTCTTGACTGTGCCGTATGTCTCCGCGTTGGGCATCATGGTGCCGACACTTCGGCGCACTGCAAGCACTCGGTCGAGGAGATCGCCCTGCAGCAACCCACGCACAAGCACGACGCCACTCTCGTAGAACTCTGCGACCTGCTCCCGGCTGAGCGGACCCTCGCGGGCGAGGTCGGCCTCGGACGGAGCGTGGAGCTCGTGGCCGGCGGCGAGCGACGATGCGGACGCAACGGCGAACTTGTCGAGAGGCGGCGTTGCGGCCCTACACATATCGTCCACGGGAAGTCGCACGAGAGTGGAAGGGGACGCTCCCAGCCAGGTCGTCGGAAGTCGCCGAACCAGGTTCGTTGTGAAGAGCTGGCTGGGGCGCGCCACCCAAGAGCCTAGGTAGGTGCGGATCGGCAAGAGCGCAATCGATCTTTTTGCCCTCTATCACCTTGGGTTGTAAGAACTTGAAACACACCACGCAGGGGCACAGCAAGCACGGATAGCCGTTGAGGAGAAAGGGCATAAGGTGTATGCGCAGCCACGGCCGTGCCGCGGTGGGCGCGCCACCTCCCGCGAGCGCGGCGGGATCGGAATTGCGGCCGGAGGGAAGGGCGAGCCGCCGCCGCCGCCGCCATATACCATCAGCGACGACGACCGCGGCTCGCCCCAAACGCCAGGCGCTGGATCGGCAGTAGGGCTTGGGCGGCGCAGCGTAGGCCTCGAGCCACACGAGTCGCCGACAACCCCCCCTCATCGACGTGATGGCCGCACCCGCTGCCGGCCGATGCAAGCTGCCGCCTCCACCGCACCAGCGATACTGGCCGCGGCTCGCCGCCACGCGCCGGCTCGGAAGAGGGGCTATCGGCGGCGCAGCAGAGCGGCATGCGTCGTCATTCGAGCAGCACCAGGTCCCCTCTTCGACGTGACGGCCGCTCCCGGAGCCGGCCGGTGCGCGCCCGACCCACGCCCCCTCTCGTACCCCCCCGGTCCCCCTGCGCGGCGCCCCCTCCACTGCGCGCCGGCTCGAGCGCCTATTGCCAAATCGCGACTTTCGAGCGCAGTGCGTGCGCCCCACACGTCACGCGAGCGCAGGAGAGTTTGCGGCAGAGCAGTACCGTGTACTAGCCGGAGGCATCGCGCCGAAAACCCCGCGCATTCCGCCCCAACAAAGGCTGCAGGAGGCAGATGGCCAATAGCTGTCGTTTAGCGACCATCGTTACGAAATGTAGCGTTACCGGGAGCTCTCCAAGCTGTCTTGGGTGGTCGAGACAAGAAAACATAGGTTATGTCCGTAGTGAACATATCTTAAACCATTTTATTCTCTTTTGCTACATGTATTCTAGCATGCATTGCTAAATCTCTCTCTCTCTCGTCGGAATGTGAGACCCACACACCAAACAACAAAAACAATGCTTCAAGGCCGTCGGCACCTTCTTTGGCGACCCGGAAGCCTGCAAGAAGGAGCTCACCGCGCACCTCAGGAAGAAGCTCGCGCCGCTCGACGTCATCGACACGATCGTCGACACTGACTGCGTCACCAACACCTCGCAGCTCCGCCTCAACCTCGTCCAACGGATTGCCTGCGCAAAGACCAAGTACATTGCCGGCATCACGCCGCCCAATGTCGCGTGCGACGCTCTCGAGTTTGCGCACAACCGCATCCGCAAGTCCTTTGAGAGCATTGCTCGCGCCGACGCCTCGCCCCAGGCGCTCCGCGACCTCGCGTGGCTCCAGGCGCAGCTGCCGACCGAGATGGGCGGGTGCAACATCGACACCGCCTTCACGCGAGCCGACAGCGACTTCTCCATGTCGCTCCTCAAGAACTGGCGCACCCTCGTCGCCCACAACCCCGACTTCGCCCTCGACGAGGGAGGTGCGTCCAAGTACCCCACCATCGCCGCAGCCATCGCCACCTACGAGTCCGCCCTCTCGGACTGGAAGGAGGTGTGCGAGAAGCGCGCCGCCCGCGACAAAACCAAGTACTACACCGTCCGCGGCGGCTACCTGACTGAGTTCTACCCCAAGAGCGTCCCGCTCCCCGAGCCCGAGTCCCTTCCAGCTACCGACGCGATTCTCAATGGCACTTGCAAATCCACGTACCCGCGGCCGCGGGCGCTCGCTGCCATCAAGAATCACAAGGACTGGTTCGCGCACCAAGAGCTCGTCAAGTAACAAGGCGCGGGACGTGCACGTCAAGAACAACCCGTCCCTCGGAGACAGCGCCGTCAACAACCGCGAAGCCTCGCGCTTCGTCTCCGCCTCAACGCCTTTCGCCGGCAAAGCCCTCGATGTCCGTGTCGACGGCACGTACGCCACCGCCCTCTCCTCCGACGCCCTCCAGGACGAGCTCCAGCGGAAGCTCGGCCTTTGGCTCTCCGTGGCGCTTCCCACCCTTCGGGTCGCGCTCGAGCGGGGCATGCCAGTCGATTTCTTCGGCGACTACCTTTACAACAAGGCCCACCACCGGCGGCCCCACGACGGCGTCCTCGCCGCCTGGGCGGACGCGATGCGCGCCCCGGCCAACGCGCCGGTCGTGCACGGCGACAAGGAGAAACCAGAGCTCACCCGGCAGTACAACGAGGGGTACAAGGTCGACCTCGCGGAACCCCACGCTGGCCCGGGAGGATGCGATGAGGTGAATGAAGTCAAGCTCTGGACGCCCCTCCTCAAGACCTCCTCGGCGGGCGTTGGCAACGCCTCGAGCGGCGGCACGCCCGCCTCCGTTGGCCACTCCTACGCCTTCGGCAACACCGAAGAGAAGGCCCGCCGCCTAAACATGGGCTGCAAGGCGCGCGGGCAGCCCGGCCAACCCTTCGACCACAAGAACGGCCACGGCTACGTCAAGGCGCATCGCGGTTTCTACCACGACGCGATCTTTGTCAAGCGCAACAACTTCAACCTGCTGCTCCACGAGACGTTCGGCGGCGGCTTCTCGCCCACCGCCGTTCTCAAGCTGCGCCGCCTCGCGCGCAAAGCCGCGCGCGGCAGCGTCGACCGCACGGCCTACTCGCCCGCGTACTCGCTTTCTTTTATGTCCCACCATGCAGAGCGCATCTCTCTCTCTGTTGTGCGAGGCGTGAACCGCGCCATTCGCTCTCACCTGGCAACCCTGTCTGCACGTCTCGCGCGCGCGTGAACAGGGCTCCAGGCCCCAAATGACGTGTGAGTGTTAGAGTTGTTTGGTATTGCTAAAAATCTCTCTCACACACACACCAAAATCAAGATTCTAATTCTTCTACCCCCACGACTCGGAACACGAATGTGACAGGACCATCGGGTCCTTCAGTCAGCCACCAAAGCGGGATCACCCGAGAGCAGCTGAGCCTGCCTCTGGCCTCGCCTCCCTCTCCTTCAGGCATTCGTGGCATCCTATGGGTCGTCCAGAGTATCGACCTCTGGCGAGTCAGCCAGTCACTTGATGACACCATGAAGTACAGCGATCGCCATCTCGCTGGCCTCTCCGCAAGGCCCCCCGACCGCGTCGAACTCATCGGCGCGGGCTCTCTCGGCTACGGGACCGGCCCCAGCTTCGGCTGAGGGCTAACAAGCTGCCGAGCCCAAATCACTGTGAGAGTCGTGATTTCTTGTTTCGTTTTGTTGGTTACCCATTAGCGCGGCTCGACCTCTTTGAGTCACTGCCTTCCCGCGGTTTTGCTGTAGAGCCTCTACAACAAACTCTACAGCAAAATCGCGCTCTACATCGCTCTACAACGCACGCAGTTCGTCCCGCGCCCGATGTAGAGCTCTACAGCTCTACAGCGCTCCAGAGCGCTCTACAGCTCTACAGCTCTACAGCGCTCTACACTCTACATCCTCTATACACCCTCCCTCAGCACTCAGCGCGGCATAGCCGCTAATCAGATGACCAATGGAGGCCGGCTCCTCTGGTTGCAAGGCCTCCAAGAGTCGGCGTGTCTCCCCGAGGGAGCTGGAACCGTGAACTCGGGCTCGCCCTCTCGTTTTAAGGAAGTTCAATACCTTCCCCTCGGGACACAGGTCGATATCCGGCTCAAACATACGACCCCGCTGAGCGCATAAGCCGCCCCGGCGCCACCTCCGATTTCGGCCGTATCGGCCATTTCGCTGGGGCGGCTTATGCGTTTCTCGCCAAAATGGTAAAGATGTCGAGCCAAAGCTGTCGACGCCGAGTTCGGCACCCGATTCGCCTTAAAACTGAAGGAGGGGGCGCGGCTCGGAGATGGCAAGGCACGGCGAGGGCAAACGTGCGGCTATTATGACGGTTTAGGGGCTCCAAAACCTCCTAACAGACAGTATGGACTCGTGAGCAAGATCTGCGTCACGCCGCCCGGCTTAGGGCTTTCCGGGATGAGGCATGAAAGGGACGTCTCCTCATCCGGCCATTTGACCTGATGATCACTGATCTGGTCGCGGCTGTCCGACGCCCCGTCGGCTACAGCAAGGCGACGCCTGGAGAGGCCCGTGCCCTCCCCATTGGAGCCACCGCCTCCCATACCTCCAGCGCCGGGTCGTACCGCTCGACCGAGCTGATGCCGTCGTCGTTGTGGCCTCCCACGGCGTACAGCTTGCCGTCGAGCACCGCCACGGCGTGAGAGTCCCGTGCCGTCGCCATCGGCGCCACCGCCTCCCACGCATTCGTAGCGGGGTCGTACCGCTCGACCGAGCTGAGGCGGTCATCGCCGTACCCGCCCACAGCGTACAGCTTGCCGTCGAGCACCGCCACGCCGACAGCGCTCCGCGCCTCCGCCATCGGCGCCACCGCCTCCCACGCGTTCGCTGCGGGATCGTACCGCTCCACCGAGCTGAGGCGGCCGACGCCGTCGCTGTACCCGCCAACAGCATAGACCTGGCCGTCGAGCACTGCCACGCCGTGATTCTCGCGTGGTGTTGTCATCGGCACCACCGACTCCCACGACTGCGTAGCAAAGTCGTACCGCTCCACCAGGTCGGAAGTTGCGGTGTCCTCACTCTGGCCGCCCACCGCGTACAGCTTGCCGTCGAGCACCGTCACAGCGAGCGCGTCCCGCTCCTCCGCCATCGGCGCCACCGCCTCCCACGCATTGGCAGCCGGATCGTACCGCTCGACCGAGCTTAGGTAGCCACCATCGAATCCGCCCACAGCGTACAGCTTGCCGTCGAGCACCGCCGTGCCGACATGCGTTCGTGCCGTTGCTGACGGCGCCACAGCCTCCTCCTCCCACTCGTCTGTGGACGGGTCGTACCGCTCCAGCGAGTTAATGAACTCGTAGTTGCTGTCTTCGCCGCCGATCACGACCAGGCGCGGCCTCTCGCGCTTCTTCAGCGTCTCCTTCCAGCCGCGGCGCCACGCGCGGCACGTCCCCTTGATGGCGTGCTCCGTGGTCGGCAGCTGGGCGAGGATGTGCGGGGCGAGGTCCGGCGAGAGGAGGACCTCGGAGAGCACCCACTCGGGCTGCTCCACGAGCCGTGCGGCGTGCTCCTCCGCCACACGCATTGCGGCGGCGCTCCAGAGGGGCGCCTGCTCGTCGATGAAGGCGACGAGCTGCTCTGGCGAGAGGCCAGACAGGCGGGCGCCGATGCGGTGGGAGACCATCTCGAGCCGATGCTTTGCGTTTTCTTTTGAGCTAGACTTCGTTGTTAAAAAGCGAAGGCACACACAACATGACGTCAAACACACGATTGCACGCACCGCACCGCACCCAGCACCCGCGCCCGCCCCCCCGGCCCCCGCCCCGCCCAGGCGGGAAAGAGATGAGGAGATGGGACAGCAAAGGAGGAGCCACGAACACGTATGGGAGGGTTCAGTAATGCGCCACGCTGCCCGGCGTTTCTCACTTTCCGGGACAGCCCCGCCCTTTTGAGGCAGGAAAGTGACGGCTACCCCGTACGCCCTGTTGCTGCGACCCCTTCGCCGACCGCCCATCCCCCCTCCCCTTCCCCAACCCCGACGAGCCGATGACCAAGCCTCTGCCAGCGCGCCCCCGAGCCCCCCCCCCCCCCCCCCACACACACACACACACACACACACCGCCACCACCACCACCACACACACACACACACACACACACACACACACACACACCGCCGCCGCGCGAGCGCCGCGCGGCGGCACACCCAGCTCAAAAGTTTTCTTTTTAGCTCTTTTCTTCTCCCTCCTTCCCACTCACTCCACCACGAGGCACCACCCCCTATTACAGCGACGGGTGCAATTTGGGAGCAAAAGAACAGATGCGCTACGGGAGATTGAGAAGTGAATAAAATGAGCCAAAATGCCACATACCTCAACACAAAATCTCAAAACGAGACGTTCGGCGGCGGCTTCTCGCCCACCGCTGTTCTCAAGCTGCGCCGCCTCGCGCGCAAAGTCGCGCGCGGCAGCGTCGACCGCACGGCCTACTCGCCCAGGTACTCGCTTTCTTTTATGTCCCACCATGCAGAGCGCATCTCTCTCTCTGTTGTGCGAGGCGTGAACCGCGCCATTCGCTCTCACCTGGCAACCCTGTCTGCACGTCTCGCGCGCGCGTGAACAGGGCTCCAGGCCCCAAATGACGTGTGAGTGTTAGAGTTGTCGTTTGGTATTGCTAAAAATCTCTCTCAAAATCTCTGCCTCTGTGTTTTCTTCAGTCCTCCCATCCCTCCCTTGGGTTGTCTGTTTTCTTTCTTTTTAACTGGGCGGCCAAATTCACACCTCGCGGGACTACTCGCAACTCGGGACTACTTATCTCTATTGGCTAGCCATTATGTTTTCGTAGCGCGCGATGACTATGTTGTGCCGCTGTGTGAGCGCCTCACGTCGGGCCTGCTTGTACTTACCGACCAGCGCATCGTTGTTTGGGCTAGCTTTGAGCTGCAACATGAGGTCTTCCATTTGCGCGAGGCTCATCTTGAGCTTTCGCTCGGGGTTCTTTGTGTTGGAGGCCTGGTCCTCGGAAAGCTGCTGCTGGAAGACCTTGTCGAAGTCAAAATCTATCCTCCGCGCTGGACTGTTGCAACGAATGTTTCTACTGTTTTGCTGAGCGCTCAACCGCCACGCCCGCGATATCAGCATGGTTCCCAATTTCCGCGTCCGTCCATCCGCGCCGCGAGGAGAGTTAATTCAAGGTCGCCTCCCGCTTGAGCACTTGAGCACCGGATAGGGTCGATTCCGCATGGTACGGGACCCCTCGATCGTCGCCCGCTGTAATGTGACGATGATGTTTCACTGCGGACTCAACGAGGCGCCGCCACGCGGCGCCGACTGACTGGTCCCCATGTCCCATTCCTCGTAGAGCCCTGGGCAAAGAAACCAGCACCTCAACCGGCTTCCCTGACTGAGCGTCACTCACAGCTCGGTGATCGCGCCGGCCGGACACCACTGTAACGTCCGTTCCGGGCATTTGAACGCGACCTTCGGGGGCGAAGACATGGGCTCTATGGCTCAGACTGGACTCCTCTTGGTCCCTTCTGATGCCCTAGGCCACACCTGGGCCTTGCCTGGGGTCCTAGGGGCCGGACAGGGTTTGCGCCCCCCGAAAGTGGCAGCGGGGAACCTTATCCTTAACTTGATTCCCGGATGCGCGTCTCACGGCCGGGTCACGGGGGACGGGGAGGGAGGGGGGTCGATCCGTAAATCCGTATAATCTACGCGACTTTAACCGTCACTTCCACCTAAACACCCTGCCTGCTTGCTCCGCTCATCAGCTCGCCGCCGCCACACGCACCGCAGTCCGGGGTTTGGCCTGTGCCACAGCTAGCCAAAATAAAATACGCCGGCAGTAGCGTAGAGGGCGTCGTGTAGCCCTCCTTTTGGTACATAGTTCTGCCGCGGCGGGTGGACTCGGCGTGCGGTGGCGCTACGCACATTTCTGTGATGGTACCGCTGCGCATCCCCGGCAGCACGACGCGACGACGGTGGCCGGCGCTTGCGCACCAGCCCCGTCCGCCGCCGGTTCCGCGGCCGCGGTCCCTTTCATAGCTACGCGCGCCATGGATTCCACGGCGTCTGAAGGTCTTGCTGAGGCGGTGGTCGCTGCATGGCACTATACGCGTGTGACACTCACTGCTATAGGTTAGTACGGCATGCTGACTGTAATAAGGCATATGCGCCACCCACGTACCTCACTCTCTACGTACACACTCACTCTCTACGTCGGTCGCGCTGGACGGCAGCGCGTCCCCAGCCTCGCCGTCGCTCTTCTCGCCGTCGCTCGCCTCGCCGCTGGTATCGCCTCGCCGCTGGTATCTCGACCAGCGTGCCTGTCTCGACGACAGCGTGCCCGGCCAGGGCCTCGCCGTCGCGTCCAAGCGCAGCCGCTCCGATGCGCCTCCTGCAACTCCGCGGGCTGCCGCAGCACGTAGTGTCGGCCGTACTCCGCCACGCCCGCGAGGACGTCAGCCGCTCACCGTCTCGACCGCCGCCGCGATTGGCGGAGGGGCTCGACCCGTCGTTCCGTGACCTCCCGCGCCAGCGAGGGCTCCTGGTGCGCCGCCCGTCGGTCGACGCCCTCGCCCCTGCGCTCCACCAACGACGCCGTCGCTGTCCTCGCCGACGTGACCGTGATTCGAGGGCAGCCCATTCGCCCTGACCCCCCCCTGGACGCGTCCACCCTCCGTCCAACATTCGCGATCCCTCTTTTACATACATAAAAATCTCTCTCTTCCCCCCAAAATCAAGAGAGAGAGCTTCTAAGAATCTCTCTCCAAAATCAACACGCCCGTCAGCCCGGACGTGCCTGCGGGCGGACGGCAACGCTTGCCACTCTCGCCGTGTTCACGCGCTTGGCTGCCGAGAGCACTTTCAAAGCGTCACTGTGCGGCGCGAGCGGCGGCGGCGAGCTTGTTGAGGTTGCCGCGGTTGCGCCTGCCCGCCTTGGTCATGAGGGGCACCATCTCCCGGCCTTCCCAGCGCCACACGCCGCCACGGTGGGAGGTGAGCAGCGAGGCGGTCGGCGCCGAGAGGCCGAGCGCCTCGGCCGTCACCGAGGCGCTGCGCCGCGATGGCTCGAAGCGGAAGACGAGCGAGGGCTGGAGGAGAGCGGTGGCGAGGGAGAGGAGGTTCGTGCTCAGCGATGCCGCTAGGGCAGCCAGCCCGCTCTCTGAGGAGAGCCCGCCGGCCCCGCCCGTGGCTCCAGACCACGCGACTGCGGCACCTTTGAGCGGGCAGCGGGCGATGCGCGTCCCTTCATCCCACGAGCAGTGCGAGGTGTCGTAAAGCATCAGCGGGGAGCCCAGCCCAGCGACGTGAAATACTCCCAGGAAGGGCAGGCCAGGCGGCGACCCGCCCTGCAGGCTGCTCACCGGAAGCGCACCCGGCTCGACAGTGTCGACCAGCGACGGCGCACACAGCCAGAGCATCGCCACGAGCAGCAAGGCCGGGTGAGCCGTCGCCAGGTGGAATGCCTGCTCGTGGGGTCGCAGTGACCAGCAGGTGCGGCCCGAGTAGCGGCTCTCCCAGTAGTCCCGCGACACCTGCGTGCACGAGGCTCGGGTGGAGCGAAAGTGTAGCACTGAGCGAAAGTGTAGCACTGGCGCAGAGATTGAGGACGCCTCACCGCATAATTTCTCCGCCGTATCCAACCGAGGCCCAGCGCGAGGAAGAAGCGTTGGGTAACGTGGTGCCCGACCGCGATGAGGCCGGCAGTAGCGATCGCGACGAGGCCGGCTGCTGGGAACAGCATCGAGCTGTGTGTGTGTGCGAACCCTCTCCGTTTCGGAATCGTAGATAAAGAATTCGCCGCGCGCCGATCCCTCCTTTGCCGTCCTCCCTCGAGTTGTTTGTTTTCTTTCTTTCTTTCCCTCCTTTCCTCAGCATTTCTTTCTTTCTTTCTTTCTAGTACTGTGGGAAAGAAAGAAAAGGAGCCGCACGGGTAATGGAAACAAGCAGGGAACCTCCGGGAGAAGGAGAAAGAAAGAAAAGAAGAAAGAGAAAGACACCAGCCAACGGAGCGATGGGATAAATAAATAAATAACACGGGCACGCCAAACGAGGGGTGGGAGAAGGACAGGGTCCCCACCTGCACGAGCAGGATCTTGTAAGGACGATCAGGGACACAGGGGAACGGGAGCGGGGAGCGCGATGGGAGCATGGCACTCCGCGAAGTCGCGCGTTTCTTACAGCTAGTGCGCGCCAGTCCCGTGCCCAGTGTAAAAAAGAAAGAAAGAAAGAAAACAGACACGCCAAACGAGGGATGGGACGAGGACAGGGTCCCCACCTGCACGAGCAGGATTTTGGAAGAACGATCAGGGGGACAGGTGGGGCTCTCCTGCTCCTGACAAGGGACACGACAGGCTCGCAGCGCGGTGCGCGGTGGACTCCCACAGTGTATAAATAAATAAATACAACGGACATCCCAAGCTAGGGCTGGGTCGAGGACAGACACGTCCCCACCTTTGCAGGATTTTGCAAAAGCGAGGGGGGAGGGCGCATCGCCGCGCGGAGAGGGCTGGGCACAGGGCACAGGGGATCTCTCTCGCATAGGATATGCACTCGGCGGCACGAGGGCAAGGCTGGGCGTCCTATGTTTGTGCTCCCCCCCGGACCCCTCGCTCTCGGGCACTAACCATCTGACCACTCATCGACGGGGCTTGGCGAGCGGCCGCGCTGCGGGGCAGGGCTGGTGAGGATGGGCTCTGGCCACTCGCCCGTGCGGTGTTGTGCGACGGAGTTTTGTCGTAAAATTCTTACAGCTGCCAAGGCGCGGGAAATCTGTCACGCCTCTTCGCGCCCGAAGCACCGATGAGCTCATCGCCCCTCGCCCTCTCCGCCTCCGGCAGCTCGCGTCGCTCGGCGAGCTCCCCGCTGCAGTCGTCCGACGTGGCCAACACGCCGGCCGGCCCGCAGGCTGGCCAATCGACGCTCCGCTCGTCGCCGCTCGTCACGCCGCACGCTGGAGGCACGCCCGGCTCGCGCGCCTCTCCGCTGAGCCTGCTGGGATCGCAGCGGTCGCAGCGGTCGCGCATCACGCCAAACAGCCTCGGCCGCTCCAACCCGCCCAGCTCGGTTGGCCGCGGCACTGGCACCGACCCCGACGACGGCAGCGGCACCGGCGGCGACGGGCCGTCGGCCAAGATCTGGGGCACCACCGTCGACGCGAAGCAGTTCCGCCGCGCGGCCAAGGCCTTCTTCACCGAGTTCCGCGACGAGTCGCAGGACCTCGAGCAGGACCCGTACTACATGCAGCTGCTCGAGCAGACCCTCGCCACGCTCGAGGA